GAAATAGTGTTGCCAGAGATGGCAGACGCCGCACTGGGGCGCAAAACGCACCGGCCGAGCCGAGCCGAGCCGTGCTGAGCCGAGCCGAGTTTTAGTAGTTGCCAAAAAACCGATGCCGGTAGCGACAAAAACTGCGGGGAACTCTGCAAAAAACGCATCTTCGCACGGCCCGTGCGTTGGCCAATTATTGCCATTATGCAAATGCAAAAACGCAAATTGTGACGATTCCCGTGTGTGTGTGTGTGTTGTGTGTGTGTGTGTATGTGTGCGTCTGTCCGCGTATTTCAACTCGGTACCCAAGCAAGCTCCGGCGCCAAGATTTTGCCGATGGGTTCTCCGGCCAAGTGCCACCTCAAGACCGCAGAACCAACTTTCACGCAGGCCTGGGCCCCGCGTACCAAAGGGTGGAAGTTTGGCAGGAAAATCGCTAACTCAGGAACCAGAAAAGCTAGAAGGCTGAAATTTTGAGGTTGTGTTCCTCGTCTACATGGAACTCAAAGATTTCAAATTCAGCCGCCAATTATTCGTAGTATCCACACATGACCCTGCGAGGGTTCCTGGCAGGAATTGCCAACTTGGGAACCAGGAAAGCTGGTAGACTGAAATTTTCAGGAGATGTTCCCAGCACATGTACAATATAAATTTATCAAATTCAGCTCCCTAGGCATGCATGGATCTCACGTACGACCACATGGAAATTTTTGGCGGGAAAATGGATAATTCGGGGACCGGGGAAGCTGAGGGCTGAAACTTTCAGGGAATGCTCCCAGCCCCCCAAGTCAAAGATACCAAATTGAGCTCGCAGATATGTGTGGTTCTCATGTCCAGAACCATGAAATTTTTTGGTAGGAAAATTGCTAACCCAAGAACCAGAAAAATTGGAAACCTGAAATTTTAACGAAATGTTGGCTGTTCAAGCATCGTGTAGACAATTAACTTCCCGAACTTCGAGGACCAGTATGTCACAAATCTTAGCTACTAGATTTCTGAGCGATCTCATTACAGCACGAAATACTGCAAAAACACATGATGGCGCGGGCTTGTCTGATGTCTGTCGCTGACAATTTTTATCCGTTTTGTGCTCTGCAAAGCTCCACAAAACGAATATTGTCACGGGGTTGCCTGCGTACGCTCTGTCTGCAGCAACTTGTTCGCAGCTTTCAACTCGGTAACCACAACAGCTAGGAAATAGAAAATTTAGGAGAATGTCCCCTACCCACGTGTGACTCCGCAAATTTAAATTCAGCTTCCCCGTGTCACGTGTAACCTATACGGCCCAGTAAAAGTTTTGGCAGTTAAAACTGTTATCTCGGGAACCACGGAGATTAGGAAGTTGAAATTTTACGAG